TATTGCTTAAAACGCTTAACAGTAGAGTTCAGATCTCAATAATATCTTCAAGAAGATGGATGTACTCATTAGAATACAACAGGGATTTTCATTTTAAAATACTTAAATGCTTCACAGCTGACTTCACATCATAAATAACCTCAGTAAGCATAGATTAAATAATTAAAATGGAAATATGCAAAAAAAACCAAACTCTGCTCAGTTGTTCAGTTTGGTGCTAAAGGTCTCAAACAGCATTTAGGAAAGGGGTAAATAAATGATTGCAACCCCTGTAGGTTTTGCACTCGTCAACAATGCAATGCTGAAGGCTTCAGCAGAATCAGTATGTCTTGCCTGCTGCAGTATCTCTACAATTAATATTTCATTCGGATTAAGTTGTTACAATTCAGCCCAAAATTGCTATTGAATTGTTTTGGTTTTCCATATGCCTTGTTCTGAAGATGCAGATATTGTTCAAACAGGATTAAATTTGCAAGATGGATAGGGAAAGCACATTGACATACTAGTGTGTCAATACGAGGGCTAAAATAATCAAACTATTCCTAAAAATTAGGATCAGCTCTTTGTGGCCTACTCAATGAAAGTGACAATTATCTAGATACACCCTCCAAATTTCTGCAGTTGAAGCCAAGACTGCAGACCAAAATTAAATCAAAGTAACTGAACAATGTGTCTTGTGCAAGTATAATATCAGGTCACTAAGTGGAATTAAGTGTATTATTGCGCAGATAAACATTTAATAAGAAGTTTATACAGATGGAAATATGATTGACACCAGCCATAAGCCACCAGCATAACGTACAACTATTGCAATGAAGAGATAACAGACATTTTGATCTTGCATTGAAATCACAAATATTCAGAATGTACAGTAATTTTGCCACAGTGATCACCAATGAAAAATAGGCTACACTTTTCTCCGCAACCTAGATTACATTTAAGTAGCCAATATGGTGCTTTACATCTAAAAGAAATCTTTAGTTTCTACACTAGCTGGGTGCTCTGGCTTGGCAACAAAACCACTGCTACAATTCCGTAAACAATTTAGTGTCATCATTCTTTTTGTAAAGTAGAAGACATTTCAACCAACTTCAGTCTGCAACGAGTTTTCAGGTATCTTTGAGAAATACTGTTAACTTTCATTGATATTTTGTGTAAACATAAGAGAATCTTATGAATTTTCAAAAGAAATTTGAACTGTTGTGCAAAATACTCTAGTAAACGATAATTTGGTGTTAATCATGATCACAAACAAAAGGTCATGACCGTTCAACTTTGTTGCTTCTTGACACATGATGCATGATGACATCTTCCGAACAACAATCATGGTTCAATCCTTCGGTAGATTCTGTGCAAACTGATCAGATGCAAGTGCAAGATTTCAGTTTTCCCCAGGCAATCAGTGAATGGTTCACCTGGCAAAACTTCACAAATCATCATCACCAATTCCCTCAAAGGCATAGTTACCATGGAAGTCATTAGCACTGACGTCATTGGAGGAAGTTCCGATTCCCCGGATGCTAACAGAAGACAGTTTACTCTGCAAGATGATAGATGGAGTAAAAGATAAAAATTCAGTGAATAAAATGCTTCAGTTGACAAAAAACTAAATTTAAAATATTTACAACAATTGAAAATATTTTATGCTTGAACAAGTTAGTATTGTATTCACAATTTGATAAACTGAACTAGTGGATAATTTGTAAATTCGGTATTAAATGGATCAACACAGTATTACAAAGAACAAAGAAAATTACAGCACAGGAACAGGCCCTTTGGCCCTCCAAGCCTGCGCCAATCCAGATCCTCTATCTAAACCTGTCGCCTATTTTCCAAGGATCTGTATCCTTCTGCTCCCTGCCCATTCATGTATCTGTCTAGATACATCTTAAAAACGCTATCGTGCTGGCCTCTACCAACTCCGCTGGCAACGCGTTCCAGGCACCCACCACCCTCTGCGTAAAGAACTTACACGCATATCTCCCTTAAACTTTTGGCCTCTCACCTTGAAATCGTGACCCCTAGTAATGGAGTCCCCGACTCTGGGAAATAGCTTCTTGCTATCCACCCTGTCTATGCCTCTCATGATTTTGTAGACCTCAATCAGGTCCCCCCCTCAACCTCTGTCTTTCTAAAATAAATAATCCTAATCTACTCAACCTCTCTTCATAGCTAGCGCCCTCCATACCAGGCAACATCCTGGTGAACGTCCTTTGCACCCTCTCCAAAGCATCCACATCCTTTTGGTAATGTGGCACCAGAACTGTACGCAGTATTCCAAATGTGGTCGAACCAAAGTCCTATACAACTGTAACATGACCTGCCAACTCTTGTATTCAATACCCCATCCGATGAATGAAAGCATATTGTGTCATCTTCGTAAGACAGAACTTAATACTGCTGGAGAGTGACATGTTGTCAAAGCTTTTTGTTATTCAGTCACCAGGACAAATGCAAAAATGCCAAATTCCAGTGAAACTTATATCACAGGAGAAGACAGATACCGATAGGTGGCCAAGTTCTGGCTGAGATACTACAATGGTGAATGCAACAGAATTTTAGGCTCATCCCTCAGACTTTGAAAGACTTTGAATTTAGTTATACAGTATTTAGTTATACAGTATTTTCCATCAACCTACAAATAAGTTCTTAGGGAAAAGTCTAATTATCTTTCAAAAGTACCTATGAAACATAATCTTAACATTCTTTAAATGCATTTGTGATTTCAACTTTTGTAAAAAAATTCTCGTTAGGCAAATACGTCAAAGCTTGATTTCTATTATCTTTCTATTATCACCTGCATATCAAATTGTTTCACTTGGATTTTGAATACTTCTAATCAGGTGTCCCCATAACTTTGTGTTGGGAGAAGAATTTCAGCTTCCCAAATCTCTTCGCATTCCAGTAACTCACTCCTCTGCTCCTTCAGGATTGACAGTTTTCTCAAAACTATGGCACCCAGAGTTATACAGATCATCAGGATCGAGAAAGCTATGCACTCACAATGGTTCATGTGGCCCGGCCAGGTGGTTGAAGTTTCAGTAGGGCATTACTTTGGGAATAGTGATCACAATTCCGTAAGTTTTAGAATACTCATGGACAAAGATGAGAGTAGTCCTAAAAGAAGAGTGCTAAATTGGGGGAAGGCCAACAATAGCAAAATTTGGCAGGAATGTGAATTGGGACCAGCTGTTTGAGGGTAAATCCACATTTGATATGTGGGAGGCTTTTAAAAAGAGGTTGATTAGAGTGCAGGACAGACATGTCCCTGTGAAAATGAGGGATAGAAAGGGCAAGATTAGGGAACCATGGATGACAGGTGAAATTGAGAGACTAGCAAAGAGGAAAAAGGAAGCATAAGGTCGAGGCGACTGAAAACAGGCGAAGCTTTGGAAGAATATCGGGAAAGTAGGACCAATCTGAAACGAGGAATTAAGAGGGCTAAACAGGGTCATGAAATATCTTTAGCAAACAGGGTTAAGGAAAATCCCAAACCCTTTTATTCGTACACAAGGAGCAAAAGGGTAACTACAGAAAGGGTTGGCCCATTCAAGGACAAAGGAGGGAAGTTATGCCAGGAGTCAGAGAAAATCAGTGAGATTCTTAATGAGTACTTTGCGTCGGTATTCACCGAGGAGAGGGACATGATGGATGCTGAAGTTAGGGATAGATGTTTGATTACTCTAGGTCAAGTCAGCATAAGGAGGGGGAAGTGTTGGGTATTCTAAAAGGCGGACAGTGGACAAGTCCCCAGGTCTGGATGGGATCTATCCCAGGTTACTGAGGGAAGCGAGAGAAGAAATATCTGGGGCCTTAACAGATATCTTTGCAGCATCCTTGAGCACAGGTGAGGTCCCGGAGGACAGGAGAATTGCTAATGTTGTCCCCTTGTTTAAGAAGGGTAGTAAGGATAATCCAAGTAATTATAGACAGGTGAGCCTGACGTCAGTGGTGGGGAAGCTGCTGGAGAAGACACTGAGGGATAGGATCTATTTAAATTTGGAAGAAAATGGGCTTATTAGTGATAGGCAGCATGGCTTTGTGTAGGAAAGGTCATGTCTTACCAACTTGATAGAATTCTTTGAGGTGACAAAATTGATAGATGAGGGAAGGGCTGTAGATGTCATATACATGGACTTCAGTAAGGCGTTTGATAAGGTTCCCCATGGTAGGCTGATGGAGAAAGTGAAGTCGCATGGGGTCCAGGGTGTACGAGCTGGATGGATATAGAAAACTGGCTGGGCAACAGGAGACAGAGAGTTGTAGTGGAAGGGAGTTTCTCAAAATGGAGAACTGTGAACCAGTGGTGATCCACAGGGATCCGTGTTGGGACCACTGTTGTTTGTGACATACATAAATGATCTGGAGGAAGGTATAGATAATCTGATTAGCAAGTTTGCAGATTACACTAAGATTGGTGGAGTAGCAGATAGTGAAGGGGACTGTCGGAGAATGCAGCAGAATATAGATAGATTGGAGAGTTGGGCGGAGAAATGGCAGATGGAGTTCAATCCAGGCAAATGCGAGGCGATGCATTTTGGAAGATCCAATTTAAGAGCGAACTATACGGTAAATGGAAAAGCCCTGGGGAAAATTGATGCACAGAAAGATCTGGGTGTTCAGGTCCATTGTACCCTGAAGGTGGCAACGCAGGTCGACAGAGTGGTCAAGAAGGCATACAGCATGCTTTCATTCATCGGATGGGGTATTGAATACAAGAGTTGGCAGGTCATGTTACAGTTGTATAGGACTTTGGTTCGACCACATTTGAAATACTGCATACAGTTCTGGTCGCCACATTACCAAAAGGATGTGGATGCTTTGGAAATGGTGCAGAGGAGGTTCACCAGGATGTTGCCTAGTATGGAGGGAGCTAGCTATGAAGAGAGGTTGAATAGATTAGGATTATTTACATTAGAAAGATGGAGGTTGAGGGGGGACCTGACTGAGGTGTACAAAATCATGACAGGTATAGACAGGGTGGACAGCAAGAAGCTATTTCCCAGAGTGGGGGAACTCAATTACTAAGGGTCATGACTTCAAGGTGAGAGGGGAAAAGTTTAAGGGAGATATGCGTGAGAAGTTCTTGACGCAGAGGGTGGTGGGTGACTGGAATGTGTTGCCAGCGGTGGTGGTAGAGGCGGGCACGATAGTGTCATTTAAGATGTATCTAGACAGATACATGAATGGGCAGGGAGCAGAGGGACACAGATCCTTGGAAAATAGGTTTAGATAGAGGATCTGGATACGGCGCAGGCTTGGAGGGCCGAAGGGCCTGTTTCTGTGCTGTAATTTTCTTTGTTCTTTGTTCTCATCCTGCCTCAGTTTTTTTATAGTCAATTTTAGCACGGAAACAGGCCCTTGGTCCAGCTCGTCCATGCTGACCAGACATCCCAATCTGACCTAGTCCCATTTTCAAGCATTTGGCCCATTCCCCTGTAAACCATTCCTATTTATGTACTCATCCAGATACCTTTTAAAAGGTAACTGTACCCAACTCCACCACAGTGTGAAAAAGTTACCCCTCAAGTCCCTTTTAAATCTTCCCCCCACCTCACCTTAAACCTATGCCCTCTAGTTTTAAGACTCCTATCCTGGGGAAAAGAACTTGGCTATTTACCCTACATACACCTTCATGATTTTATAAACCTCTATAAGCTAACCCCCAAGCCTCTGAAACTAATCGGGAAAACAGCCCCAGCCTATTCAGCCTATCCCTTTTGCCTAAACCTTCCAAGCCCTGATAACACCCTTGCAAATCTTTTCTGAACCTTTTCAAGTTTAACAACATCTTTCCTATAGCAGGGAGGCCAGAAGAGAATGCAGTACTTTAAAAGTTGCTTTACCAATACCCTGGTAGCTGCAACATGACATCCTAACTCCTTTATTTAATGCACTGAACTATGAAGGCGAGCATGCCAAACACTTTCTTACCACCCTGTCTACCTCAGACTTCACTTTCAAGGAACTACGCATCTGCACCCTTAGGTCTCTGCCTTCGGCAACACTTCCCAGGACCTTACTATTAACTGTGCAAGTCCTGCCCCGATTTGCCTTACCGAAATGCAACACCTCACATTTATCTAAGTTAAACTCGGTATGACACCTTCAGCCCATCTGATCAAGGTTCTGTTGTACACGGAGGTAACCTTCTTCGCTATCCACTACACCACTAATTTTCATCAATCGTGGTTATTAATGCAGAAAAATATCCAAGGAGCTAACTTTTCCTTTGTCTTAAATATTCTAAAAAAACAGCATGCTCTGGAAAGTACAGCAATTCTTTTGATGAGTGGAGTAACTACAATCTGAAACGTAACATGTAATTCACCACATCTCAATACATTTGCCTTTTGAATATTAACCAATAGGTAATGTCTACATTACAGTCAAATTACATGGAAAAGTAGCACACGCTAAAGATAGTTCATGTTTATAATGTACTCTCAAGCAGCACCAGCCATACTGATGGTTATCTAAACCTTTTACATTAAGTTGAAAGAACACTGCTTAGACATCATTAGACCTAAGGTAGTAGCAGACCAACACTCAGTCTGCAAATTAAATGTCCCTTTTCAGGTCAGCTTGAATAATTTTACTCACTGAGAGCTTGACAATAGGTTCTCTGTTTGAATCAGGAGAATCCTAAAGAAATTAAAAAACAGTTAAACGAATGGCAACAAACAGTGAGCTTAAAGAAGTTCTTTGAACAGCAATTAATTTCATCATTTACTTCAAGGAAATACTAACAAAATCCAGAAATCATTGCTACAGTGACAACTGATGCTTTTTCAATTTTTTTTGCAAGGTCAGTAAATGAAATATATCAATTATATTGCTGCTGTAAATTGTATTTAAGGTGAGATGGTTACGTCAATTAGGTCAAAAATCAATTTGTAAGATTAATATGAAACACCGTAGTTACGCAGTTACTTTGTACTCTAAGCGAGATCACAAGTTATATTGCTATTTATTTTACGTAGTTCCAGTCATATACTTTTTTTTTGTAGTTTTCCTTCCTGGGCACAAGTATTGCTGGTAAAGGCTATATTTATTGCTCATCCACAACTGTTCACAAAGGTGGTGGTTGGCCCCCTTCTTCAACAGCTGTATTCAATGAAGACCAAGAGAGACAGGATCAGAAATAGGCTGTTCAGCCTTGTGAGTCTGCTCTGCCATTCAATTAGATCATGGCTGATCTGATAATCCCTAACTCCACTTTCTTGCCTTATCCTCATAACCTTTGAATCCCTTAATGATTACAAATCCATGTCTCTTAGTCTGGAATATTCTTAATAACCAAGCCTTTGCAGGAAAGAATTCCACAGATTCACTACCCTCAGAAGAAATTCATCATCTGAGCCTTAAATGGGTGATCCTTTATTGAGAGATTATGCAAATGGTTCTAGGCTCTCCAAGTGGGAAGAAACTCTCGCCACTTACCCTGTCAATTCACCCGAGAATCTTAGATTTACTCAAATGGATTCTACATCTTTGTCTTTCAATACAAAATTACTTCTTACAAATAAAGTAAAAATGAGATCAGAACATTAAGAATGCTGCATTACCTTCTTTCACTTTTTGCCTATACCTTCTAAATGTCTTTAAATAGTCTGTCACACTTCGTCACTCTGTGGCAAAGTCTCCATAATAGCAATTAAAATTTACCCATTTACCCATTATTTTCCCAGGCTGAAATGTATTCATTCCTTTGTCTGCAAAACACTCTCTCTTTTTTTGGGCTCCATCTCCACCTACTGTTTACTCCTTACCCCTCCCTCTGCTCCTTCTTTAGCATATATACCAATCTTTTCCCAGCTACAATTAGTTCTGAAGTGTCATCACTGGACCCGAAATGATAGTTATGCTTTCTCTCCAAAGATGCCGCCAGACCTGCTGAGTTTTATTTTTCTTCCCCCAGCAGTGTGCTTTTGACTTCTAGCATCCACAGTTCTTTGGTTTTTTTAAATTTAACAGAACTACTTTTGATGCCTATGACGCAGCAAGCAGCTTTGTATGCACATGACATAGAATGAAAGTCACAAGATGATCACAATACAAAGCCCCAATTTCATCATCAGCCTTTTGCATTGTAGATGGTGAATTCCAAGATATACAAGGGAGTTCTTAAATCCTCGACATGGCAGCAAAAAGACACTTCTTTTTACTCAATTTACTGAGTAGTAAACAAAACTGCAAAGAAGAATGTTCTAACCAGGAGTGGAGGAGATTTCACAGCTTGCTGGCTGTCGGACCGACGTAACGCACCATTCAGGCGCTTCTTTAGCATCTAAAATTTGAAGAAAACAGAAAACATTCCAAATTTAAACATGGTTCATTCTGACTGAACACATTCCATTTGTCTACATCTGAAACAAACTGAGGATTTGACTGACACCCCCAAGGAAGCAATAATTGTTTGTGGATTAGAAGAAAGTTTACAGTGGTGCTTCATGGGGTTGACATGACGACTCCTGTACTTTCTGATGTATGTTAATAACCTACACCTTAGCACATAGGATAATTTCAAAATTTGTGGATGATACAAAACTTGCCAGTTGTGTTGGTGACAAGGTCAATCTGGAACTTCAAAAGAATTGAGCAAAAAGTGACAGATGCATTTTTTTGCAAAGGAGTATGAAGTGATTCAATTTGGTAGGAAGAATGTCAAGAATGTGAAATAGATGGTACAATTCAAAAGAGGGTGCAGGAGTAATGAAACTGGCTGCTAAGTGCATGAATTATTGAAGGTGGTGAGGCAGATTGAGAGAGTGCTTAATAAAACATGCACCATTAATGGTGGCTGAAAATACAAAAGCTGGGAAGTTATGCTAAACCTGGAGACACCAATTTGGCCTCAATTGGTGCATCAGTCCCAGCTCTGGGTACCATACTTTAAAATTGGAAAAGCGGTGTATGCAGAGGAGATTCACAACAGTAGTCCCAGGGATGAGGAACTTGAATTATGTACATCGAATAAAGATGATGAGAATGGTTTCCTTGGAGCAGAGGGAGCTGGGAGGAGATATGATAACTATTCAGAAGCATGAGGAGCTGGAGAAACTGTTCACATTGATGGAAGGATTGGGAATAAGTGGGCACGGATTTATGGTAATTGGCAAAAACAGGACTCGTGACAAGAGGAAAGCTTTTTCACTCAGAGCAGTGGAGGCAGATTCAAAACATTCAACAGGAAATTGGTTTATGATCTGAAGAGGAAGAATGTGCAGGGCTACAGGGAGAACATGAGTGGCATTAGGTCAACTGCTCTCTTAAGAGCCCAGCACAGACTTGGGGCAAGTGGCTTTTCCTATGCTGTCCACTTTGTGATCTACCAGCTTAAACCTGGACTTTGACTCCCACTGCTGTTACATAAAGGATACACTAATTGAGTCACCACTACTTTTTCAGCACTGCCTTCCAAACAAAGCGGGTGGCCACGGATACCCGCATATGCCTGCCTCTTTGTAGGTTACGTGGAACAATCCCTCTTCCGTAGCTACTCTGGCCCTAAAGCCCACCTCTGTATCGGCGCCGCCTCGTGTTCCCACGAGGAGCTCGAACAGTTCATCCACTTCACCAACACCTTCCACCCCAACCTTAAGTTCACCTGGACCATCTCTGATACCTCTCTCTCCTTCCTGGACCTCTGTTTCCATCTCTGGCAACCACCTGGAAACCGATATCCATTTCAAGCCCATCGACTCCCACAGCTACCTAGAATACACCTCCTCCCACCCACCTTCGTGCAAAAAATGCCATCCCCTATTCCCAATTCCTTCGCCTCCGCCGCATCTGCTCCCAGGATGAGACATTCCACTCCCGTACATCTCGGATGTCCTCATTTTTCAAGGACCAGAACATCCCCCCCTCAGTGGTCAAGAACACCCTCGACAGTGTCTCCCGCATTTCCTGCAACTCATCCCTCACACCCCCTCCCCGCAATAACAACCAAAACGGAATCCCCCTTGTCCTCACGTACCACCCCACCAACCTCCGGATCCAACGCATCATCCTCCGACACTTCCGCTATCTGCAATCTGACCCCACCAGCAAAGACATTTTTCCCTCCCCACCCTTGTCTGCTTTCCGGAGGGACCACTCTCTCCGTGCCTCCCTTGTCCGCTCCACACTCCCCTCCAGCCCCACCACACCCGGCACTTTTCCCTGCAACCACAGGAAGTGCTACCCCTGCCCCTACACCTCCCCTGTCACCCCCATCCCAGGCTCCAAGAAGACCTTCCACATCAAGCAGATGTTCACCTGCACATCTGCTAATGTGGTATACTGTATCCGCTGTTCCAGACGTGGCCTCCTCTGCATCAGGGAAAGTAAGCCAAGGCTTGGGGACCACTTTGCGGAACACCTACATTCGGTTAGCACTAAACAACTGCACCTCCCAGTCGCGAACCATTTCAACTCCCCCCTCCCAGTCCGTTGACGACATGTCCATCCTGGGCCTCCTGCAGTGCCACAATGATGCCACCCGAAGGTTGCAGGAATAGCACCTCATATTCCGCTTGGGAACCCTGCAGCCCAATGGTATCAATGTGGACTTCACAAGCTTCAAAATCTCCCCTCCCCCTACCACATCCCAAAACCAGCCCAGCTTGTCCCCGCCTCCCTAACTTGTCCCTCCTCCCACCTCAAGACCCACCCCCATCTCCTACCTACTAGGCTCATCCCACCCCCTTGACCTGTCCGTCCTCCCTGGACTGACCTATCCCCTCCCTAACTCCCCATCTACACTCACATTTATTGGCTCCACCCCCACTTCTTTGACCTGTGTCTCCTCTCCACCTATCTTCTCCTTTATCCATCTGCTAACAGCCTCCCCCTCGCTCCGTATTTATTTCAGAATCCCCTTCCCCTCCCCCATTTCTGAAGGAGGGTCTAGGCCTGAAACGTCAGCTTTCCTGCTCCTCTGATGCTGCTTGGCCTACTGTGTTCATCCAGCTCTACACCTTGTTATCTCAGATTCTCCAGGATCTGCAGTTCCTACTATCTCTGAAACAGTATACGTGCTGCACATTTTCCATTAGGCATGAGACATGACATCCTACACTAGGCTTGTGGGATAGACTCTTGCTTAAACTTTATACAGGCATCTGACCTAAGAAACCTAAAAATAAAAAATATTAGTTTACCTTCTTTATATTGCCACCTGATTTCTTCACCATTAGCTCATCCACCATTGCTTGTAAAGAAATACTCATCATTATTGCCTGATAAAAAAAACAAAAACAAATCAGAACAAATTTCAACCCTCAGCAGCATACTGAATCAATGCATTTACTATTGTATTTTTATATTGTTACATGATGTTTAGGATAGCAAACACTGGAACATTACTGTGTTGTGTCACATAGTTTTGAAGTGCTGCCATTAAAGTTCGATAACATTACAGCTCAAAGTGCAGACTGCTGATGGGACCCGGCAGGAGCCTAAAAGGGAGAAAAGTTTAGAGAACAGAGGATCTGAATGGCCCTGGACACTGCATAAAAGTGCAAGTCAATATTGGCTAGGCCTACATGAAAAAAAAACTGTCTTTAAAGGCAGTGCTGAATTTGAGAAAGAAAAAGTCAAAACACCAAATTCATGGAAATTAGAAATACGGTTACTAGCTTTCCGGGTTGCTGAAGCAACAACAGATTCATCTATACAGAAAATAATGGTGTTAATGTTTTGAATGCAATGACCCTTCGTCAGTGCTGACTTGATATGTTAAATATTTTCTTTTTAGATACTGCCAGACCTGAATTTCTGTTTTTGTTTTAGCTCTTCAGCGTCCACAGTTCTTTGTTTTGTTATAATTCTATCAACGTTACTTTAAGTAAGTCATGTTGCCTGGCAAATAAGGAACATCTGCAAATGTCACCAAAAAAAATTACATTCTGCCTCAGTTATAAATAAGTCTGGATAAACAAAGTTGGACAACTATTCACGATCTGTCCTTCATGGCCTATTGAACCCTATTAGGCCACTAGTACTTGACATTTATCTACTTAAACATGTGCCTTGAGTCAATCAACTGATAAAAAGGCTCAATGAAAACCGAAAGACCTGTGGATGCTGTAAATCAGGAACAAAAACAGACGTTGCTGGAAAAGCTCAGCAGGTTTGGCAGCTTTCTGTGAAGGAAAAAGTCAGGGTTAATGTTTCAGGTCGGTGACCCTTCCTGAGAACTGGAGTTTTTCTTCACAGATGCTGCCCGACCTGCTGAGCTTTTCTAGCAACTTCCATTTTTGTTCATGATAATGGCTCACCTTGATTACTCAAACAAGAAAGCAGGTAGAACTTGGATCAGACTAAGCGCAAAAGCAATTGTGCTTTTGACAACCTCACTAAATTATTTGGAAATTAAAGTAAGATCTTAGAAGACAGATATCAAAACTTCAAAAAGTCAAAAGAGATAAGAATAAAAAAATTACACCAAATCTAGTTTATTTCAAAGGCACTAAACGTTTGAATTTTAACAGTGTTAAGAGGACTTCAGATGCAAAAATAACAACAGCAAAAACATATTTGCAAGTTTGGTTGACTGCACAAAAGGATGGAAGAAAAGAAATGTAATGACAATAAAGATGATTAACCCCACAATTCATCTCAGAGATATTCCTGATGGAGACAGATGACCAAACTCTAAAACCATTAACCTCAAGCATAAGCTTACACATTAGTTACTCGCACCAGGAGATGGCTTTATTGTTAAAGATGTTGACGTATAAAAGATTTTAACTGCAAACGTAATTTTGCTAACTTGATTAGAGATTTGATAGAAATGTTAAAAATGAGGGATATAGGCAGAGTAACTAGAGAAGATTGACGGAAAGGTCAAGAATCAGACGATAGCAAGATAAGGCGAATGGCAAAAACAACAACAGGAACACAATTTTTTTTGAATGCAAGTGTTTACCATCGTTAATGCACTGCCTGAGACCCGAGTATGGCAGAAGCAGACTCCATTACTATCAGAAGGAATTGCATGAGCCACCCGATCAGAAAAAAAACCTTGCAGTATATAGGAAGAGAGTAGGACAGCGAAGCTATGAGTTGCTTTTACAAACAGCCAGCATGGATGGCACCTGCTAAACTGGTTCCTTCCATGATGTAACTGTTCGACGAAAAATGATGAGTATTCAGTAAAATTATTATGAGGCAAATTCTGATTGAGATACTGCACATACTTAAATTATGCCATGTTTATTATGTTTTAAACTGGCCAGTTGTTTGGAAATTTCCAAACGGCTGCATTATTCATGCTTTTTTGAGCCATTAGCAACGTTAATGCATGAATTTTTGTATTTTGAAGTTTTTGTAAACTTCAACATCACTATCTCACTCACAATTGCATCATGCTTTTGTAGTGAATAGTTGGCTTATGTTAAATTAAGGCCTTTTCTTAAGCTTTAAAGATCAAAGATAAATTTTCAGCCAATTAATGTAGAATTAAAGCAAAATAAATCAAACATTTATTGATACTTTTAAATTAATATCCTTTGTATTAATTATGACTCAAATTTTCTAGCATTATGATGGATCTAGAAAGGAGGGGTGGCAATTAAAGAAACAAAAATCATTTAGCCAACACAAAGTACTGGGACAACTTAAACACTTATGGACAGAAAAAAATTCTACTAGTGTTTAAACTTCAGTAATTGTTAAAATTGAACAAGTTAACAGTATGAATGATTTCTGTAACACATTCAGTATGACCCCAGTATTGTTCTTCCCAAATTTACTCCGCACTAACTATAGTGACCAAGATACCCCAAAAACATAGCCATGGCAGATGTTAAGCTAATGACCTGTAATTTCTTTTCTTGCTCCTTTAGTTGAACAGATAAGTTACATTCAATATTTTCCAATCTAAAGGAACCTTCCCGAACCAAGACTGTTTCATCAAATTAAAACGGAATGCATCAATTATTTCACTAACCACTTATGATCTCAAATGAAACCGATCAGGACTTAGCAACTTGTCAGCCTGCTATTCCATGTGTTTGCTCAGTTCCACTTCCTGGTGACTGTGATTTTCTTCAGTTCCTTTCTCCCACTGCCTTCAGTTATTTCTGGGATGCCATTTGTATGTACTACAGTCGATCTCCATCTCCCTACTTTCCGTCAATTCCTTTCTATAGGACCAATCTCATTTAATTAACTCCTCTTTTAAATATCTATAGAAAATCTTCTAATTATTTTATATTTCTAGCAATTTTCTCTCGTGCTCCAACTTAGCTGAGGCATCACATCAGCCGTGACCTTATTGAATGAAGGAAGGGCCAAATGGCCTACTTCTGCTCACAATTTATATGTTTGGATTCATACAAACATTTTTTTGATGCTTTGCCACCAACGAAAGCTATTACACTTCACTTAAAACAGATCCAAATTCAACCATCACTATTTTTAACATGACGAGATTCACAAATGAACAAAAACTGAAAGAACTGTGGATGCTGCAAATCAGGAATAAAAACAAAAAGTTGCTGGAAAAGCTCAGCAGATCCGGCAGCATCTGTGAAGGAAAAAACAGTTACCATTTTAGGCCCGGTGACCTGAAATGTTAACTGGTTTTTTCCTTCACAGAGGCTGCCAAGCCTGCAGAGCTTTTCCAGTGACTTCGTTTTTGTTCACAAATGAACGTTAACCTCGAAGACCCTGCTAAGTAAAAGTGGATACTTATTTCAGGAGTTCTGTGATTCAGTCATTCTAGCATTGTCAAAGTGAACAGCTCACTTATTTTGTTATTAAGGCACCATAAGTACAATATTTTAATGTTCAAAATCAATAATATGCCTCACCTGGGGGCTAGAAATGGTCACCCACTGGAGTCGGTCTTTGCTCATCAAATACTCAAAAGCCAATTCCAATTTGGTCTCTGTTTTTCCTGGGATGTTTGCAGTGCCATTTGTTAGTGGAATTTGCTAGTGTTTAAAATAAAATAATTAAATGTACAAGCATGTGAAAACAAATCTGACTTTAGTTCAACATTTTGATTATCAAGAAAATAAATTCATAGTTTCTGCAGCAATTAAAATGACAGTAATCTTAAATTTAATACAAGCAACTCTCGCTCAAAATCGAGAGAAGAATTTAACGCCTAATTTTAACTTTTTTTTTTGAAGAAGTTGAGAACATTCTGTGGAGAGTTTTTTTTAGAAGTAAAAGGGACAGTAAGGTGTTTAAAAACCTTCTGTAATACTTACTGAGGAAGTAACACGCCAGCATCTCATGCGTGTGACCTTGAAGCTACCTTCTTTGATTTGGTCATTGGGTAACTTGACATGAAAATTTAGTTCATTATTACCGGCGCTGACTATTACATGACATTCTTTCTCTGGAAAATCAGTGATGCAAGGGTCAAACTTGATATATCCATAATACTTCAGCGTTTGAGCCAGGCTGATAAACTGCACAAAAGCACAAATATTTACATCTTTACAGCTGGTACCTTTAAAAAGGTGACAAAATCCTTTGCTAATATGGAAAATAAAATGATGCACACTAAAAAAAAAAAAGACTAAAAATACTGCTTCTTTACATCAGGAAAGCAGGAGTCTAGAGCACGGTGACACTAATTTTTTTTTTTTTAAACACACCACAAAGGAAGAAAAAACACATCTATCTTGCCTTATATTCCCTCAGGATTTTTCAAAACATTCTGTGGCCAAGGAAGTACTTTTGACACTGTGCTAATATAGGAATTACAAGCAATGCAAGTAAAGCAAGGCTAACAAACAGCAATGAAATAAACAGCTGGATTATTTTGTAAAGTGCTGATTAAGAGATAAATACTACCTTAGTCATTGGGAAAACAGAACAGGTTTAAAAGAAGCCTCCTCTTAAGGACGACTAGAATACGAAAAGATGCACATTATGCTGCAGTTGTATAAAGCTCCAGTTACATAGTTTCTGGAATACATCATTCAGTTCTAGCTATTACACTTTGCAAGTATCTATACATTTCAGACGTGTTCACCAGTTTTGAAGGAAGAACAGCACAGACTCTCCAGAAAGACAGCAACATTAAACGGCTGAATCATGAAGACAGTTGCACAGCTCACGTTCTATTATTCGGAGTACAAAATATTATGGCGTGATCTAAATGAGATGTCCATATAAACAAAGCATTCAATAGAATAGCTAGAAAGAATATAGTTCCTTCGGGCCCATGTGCAGAAAAGTTGGGTGTAAACTTAAAATTAGAACTAGACAGATCAAATTCCCTCTAAGCTGCTTGGCTGTGCAGCTTGATGATCCATGCACACTGCTGTGCTGCTACCTTCATTTCCAGTTTAAACAGCCACTGCCACACACAGACCTTGGGAGGTCCACACAGCAGCTGGGAAAATTAAAGGGAACGTAGGTCAAGGAAATATTGGGGGAGTATTATTTCACAGAAAGGGTAGTGGAGCTTTAGAACACTCAAAAACCTGCTGAAGCTAGGTCAATCAGAAATGTAAACTACGGATTGGGATGGGGATGAAAGACAACTGATAAAGGTTGTGTCTCAGAGAAATCATCCATGATCTGATTGCACGGTTGAAAAGTCTCAAAGGGTGCTGAATTGCTTACCTCTGTTCTAATGAGCACTCATCTTGTCATCCACTACTGGAGTGAGGTTTTTTTGCATCTATCAGAGGAAATAGGCAGGACTACAGTTTAATGTAATTGCATTTAAAGTGGGAAGGGAATATCAATGTCCACCACGAAGAGTGGCTTGGCAGCACTAATCGAGCCCTAGTTCTTCTTTAACAAATCCGCCAGCAGTGCCACCATGCTATTAAAGTTTGGCACAAATTTTCTGTAGAACCTGCTCAGTCCCAAAAAATCTTAGCACTTCTTTCTTCGAGGATGGTCTTGGAAATTCCTCGATGGCCTGGTCTTCACATTCCTTGGTGTCATCCATCCATGTTCGATGCGTCCTAAGAATGTCACTTGCGCCTTCACAAAATCTACCTTTGCCAAATTTATCATCAATTTCACCTTTCGTAGTCTCTCAAAAAGTTCTGCCAAATGCATCCTGTGTTCTTTCGGCGAATAGCTGAAGATTACTAAGTCATCTACAAAAAGACGGCACAATCAGTCAGTCCTGACGCCTCTGTTCATAAAGGTGGCTGGTGCGTTCTTCATTCCAAAGGGCATTACTCTAAATTGGTATAGGCCATTTGGGGTTACAAAAGCAGAAACTTCTTTCGTTCTCTCTGACAAAGGTACTGGCCAGTAACCACAAAGTACGCCCAACTTTGTGATGTAAGTGGTTTGGCCTACTTTTTCCACACAGTCCTCCAGCCTTTGAAAGAGCTATGAGTTGGATTTAGTCACAGTGTTGATGTTCCGATAATCTACGCAGAATCGTTGAGGACCATCAGGTTTAAGAACAAAGAAAATTACAGCACAGGAACAGGCCCTTTGGCCCTCCAAGCCTGAGCCTCTATACAGATCCTCTATCTAAACCTGTCGCCTATTTTCCAAGGATCTGTATCCCTCTGCTCCCTGCCCATTCATGTATCTGTCTAGATACATCTTAAATGACGCTATCGCGCCTGTCTCTACCACCTCCGCTGGCAACGCATTCCAGCCACCCACCACCCTCTGCGTAAAGAACTTTCCACGCATATCTCCCTTAAACTTTTCCCCTCTCACCTTGAAATCGTGACCCCTAGTAATTGAGGCCCCCACTCTGGGAAAAAGCTTGTTGCTATCCACCCTGTCTATACCTCTCATGATTTTGTAGACCTCAATCAGGTCCCCCCACCTTGATCTCCGTCTTTCTAATGTAAGTAATCCTAATCTACACAACCTCTCTTCATAGCTAGCTAGGAAGATGATCAGCAAACTCCATTTGCTTTGACTCAGCTCGATGATGTCTTCTTGGAGTATCGCTTCCACTTACTTCTGTACCTGTGCTGCTTTGCGGATTAAGCCTGTAGTGGTGTTGTTTTATTCGAACAGCCTTCCCTAAGTCAGTCTCATGTATGATGGTATTAGTCCTCCCCATTCTATTTTTATGTATGTCCCCATAGTGCTGCATCAAGCCTTCCAATGCAATTCTCTGTTCCTGAGACTAGTAGCTTACTACCCTATCTCATTCTTTAAGGACTTCCTTATTATTCAGTTTATTCTGAGGCACATCAAAATCCACATCATCTGGATTTGATTCCCTGTCATATTAAGATTTCATCATGTTCATATAACACCCAATAATTTTTTTTTTCCTATCTGGCATCTTTACCAGATAATTCACCTGACTTAGCTTCTCAATCTGATAGGGGTCACTAAACCTTGGAGGCATCTCTACCACTGATAACGCCACCAATACTTTATCCCCATGGGCAAACATACGAGTTTTAGATTTGTTATCTGCTTCTTGCTTCATTATGTGCCGCACCACCTTCAAATGTTGTCCAGCTACTCTGTTTAATCTCTCTCTCAGCTCAGATGCATAATCCAACTGTGAAATCTCTGACTTCAGACCCGTCAACTTTTCCTTAATTTTAAAAGGCCCTCTTAGCATCCAAATATCAATTCAAATGTAGTCAACAGTTGTTTCATTTGGAGCATCTCCAATAGCAATATAAATGGGATACCCTTATCCCAATCAATTGGGTAATCCTGGCAATAAGCTGTCAGCATGGTCTTTTGGGTCTGGTGCCACCTTTTCAATGCTCCCTGGGATTCAGGATGGTATGCACTTGATTTAAAGTGTTGGATGCATAAGCTATCCATGACCTTCTCAAATAGTTTGGCAGTAAAACTGGAGCCTTAGTCTGACTGGATCTCCCTGGGTCCAACATAATGGGTAAAGAAAGCAAGCAACTCCTCCCCAACCTTCTTTGCCTTGACATTCCATAATGGAGTTGCCCCTGGAAATCTGGTAGACACATTCGTTATGGTTAGCAAACACTGGTTCCTACTTTTAGTTTTAGAGAGGAAACCTACACAATCAATCATAACCAGTGTGAAAAGTTCTTCAAAATGTGGGAGTTGGCATCAAAGGCGCTGGTTTTATTATTGTCTGTGGCTTTCCTACCATTTGACACATGACAGTGACCAGCAACATAATCTGGTGAACTTCCACCCATTTCTCCTCAGCACTAACCTGCCACGGTCTCTATTTCCATTTTAGGATTCTAACCTCAAGGTAAGAACATTCTAAAACACATTGATTCCTTTTCTGAGCAGGCTTTATGATAGAAATCTTTTGTCGTCTCATTTTTGTTGTAACTCCATTACTCTTTCAGAGCTAAACACCTCTGCTTGATCCTCTACTTGTTTGGGGTTTTCCTTTACCATTTCATCAACCAGGGTGTCAGCTAGCTGGACCTCAACTTCTTCGTCTTTCTCTTTGGTTTTCCCTTCTTACTTTAACTTATCATTGTGGGATCTTGTCACCACAGATTCTGGAAAAATTCCACGTTTTTTTTTAAAACTCCTCAGTTCCCTGGTTTTCTTTTGGCTTCTCCACTACCATGGGCATCACTTCAACCTTTGATCCAGCTAGGTTGTTTCCAAGAACAAACTGTATTCCTGGGACAGACACGCTTTCAGTCGCTCCCACTGTCACTTCCCCAGTCTTGGTTGAGCTTTCCAGCCTTATCTTACACAGGGGAACACTAAATCTCTCTCCATTTATTCCACAGATTATCACTCTCTCAGGTAACATTTCAGGAGTGCAAATACTTTCATCTCTTACTATTCGAGACTGACCAACTCCTGTATCTCAATATTTTAACTTCTTTACCTTCTTCCCCTGTTCTTCCTGCGTAAACCTTACCCACAGAGGTGAAGTCTTTGAAGAGATTGGACACTATTACTATCCGGCCCATGACTAGGCTGTGCACTCTCCTACAGTTCCTAGATTTCTCTTGGGATTTCCTTCATCATCTCAACTAATCCCATTGGTTTAGCCTCTTTTACCCCATCCTTTTACCCAGAGCCTCTTTCAATCCACCAGCACTGTGACTGTGTGTGTCCCCCTCCCACAGTGGAAACACCTGAGGCCTTTTGCTTCTTTTTCACCCTCTTTGGGTTACTTTTCCCATGTGATAAACTGTTCCCAGTGTGATCTACTTTTTGTTTTTCATCGAAGGATCTCCTTTTTCCCAGTTTCTATCCCTCATGGAATAAAATTGCTATGGTAAGCTAGATTTTGATTTATGCACTAATGCACATTCATTCGCCATTTCTGCAGATCTTCTCACTGTTTTAGCTTCCTGTTCCTCAAGTCTGATCCCTTTTGGAAGTTTTTAAAACTCCTCCAGCAGAATAATCTAAGATCCTCATATGTCTTTTCTATGTTCATGCTCTCATCCATCTATCGAAGTTGTTATGTTTAATTCTTTCAAATTCGACACAAGAATGACTTGGTTCCTCCTTATATTTCTGAACTGCTGTCTGTGTGTTTCTG